CTACTACTACTACCTACTACCTACTACCTACTACCTACTACCTACTACCTACTACTTACTACTACTACTTACTACTACTACTACTACTACTACTACTACTACTACTACTCCTGCTGCTGCTGCTGCTGCGACGACGACGACGACTACTGCTACTACTGCCACTCATCATGTTTGCAGGCTCTGCATGTGTCATGCTACACGTGTTCTCTACGGTTTTGCAAGTTGTGCTATGCAATGCCATTCTGTGCATTGCTATGCTATTGCGTGCTGTGCCATGTTATGCTGTGCAATATCTACTTCGACACATACGTACATAGGGCTAGTAGCCCTCCACCCAGCCCGCCAGACAGGCCGCAGGCAGGCAGGAAGACAAGAGGTTTTATATATGTACATGTATATGTATGTGTAGGTTGGCTAGGTAGGCCCCCAAACAAAGCAGAAGACCCGGAGAGACGTAAACAAACCACATCCATACACACCCTTCTGCCTTGTGAGGAGACCGATGTAGAGAGGGATCATGAAGACTGGCACTTGGGGATCTTGGAAGAAGCCTTCCAAGCCACAGTGGCTCGGATGTTTAGCAGCGCTGACGCTGCATGGTTCAACGTTTATGCGAGACGCGAGCTCAGGTCTGGCCACCCACGGAGTCGGAAGCGGACACGGGCGGCGAGGAGCGGATCGTCTGTCGCCACCTGGGATCCAATTTCAAGGATGTGGAGCCCGAGAGCGAAGGCTATGCTGCGGCGGCCTGGAGATTCATAGCCGAGCTCCCCACCGATGCGTCGGAGGGGGAGGACGACAAACTCCGGAGCCCAACGCCTGTCTGCGACGCAGAGCTTGTGCCAGAAGGGCGGTGCGCTCCAGAGCCTCCAGCGATCCCGCCCCCTCACGTTCCAGAGTCGGATCTGCTCTGCGACGTCCTGCAAGCCGAGCCACTCCGACGGAGCCCGCCGCCCTGTGCCTCCGAGCCCAGCTTCGCGCCCGCGCCCTCCTTGCAGACCGCCCCGCAGCAGGACGAGTCCTTTCCGAGGACCAGAACAACACTGCATCTAAGAGAAGACTTGAACACAAGGAATGCCCTGGATATCATGGCTGCTTTTCTGTGTGTTCTTAGGTCTAACTAAACCAAAACATAAAGTACAGTTGGCAATGCGGCGGAATGTGCTCCTGGGGCTCAGTTCATGCCGCTCACTGAATACTGTTGCCCCCCTTCAAAGCTCAGACTGCAACCCATCAACACCCACCAGCCAGAACCTGCCGAATGACGAGAGCCCTTGTTGGACACAATTGAGTGTGAACCCAGAGAAACATCATCCTGCAATCGAGGACCTCACCTTCGGTTTCTCCTTTGCGAACCTGCTTTTGCTATGCCTCTCCTCTCCGGAGACAGGGCTGCACCTCATAATCCTTTGAGGAAGACTCTTGATCCCAAAGGTACATCTTCTGTGGAGTGCCTGTGCCCCCAACCCCTGAGCCCGTTTAGCCCCTTCAGCCCTACATCTTCAGCCCGCCTTCCTTTGGGCGAAAAATGCCCAAGTCAAGCCTCACGACTCGCAAAAACCTCTGAAGTTGAGATCTCATGCCCCAAAATCCGAAGACTTGCCGGGTCTGTCGGCAGCTTCATAAGGTGTGTCCTGACTCCGGGATCCCGAAACCCCAAACCATGGACATCATGAGCTAGTGGACGTTACAGGTGATGGTTGCGACGGTGGGGGTTAGGACTAGGATGAGGCCGAGGATGATGATGGTGACGATGGTGGCGACCATGATGATGATCATGAGGGCAATGATGTTGATGATGATGATGATGATCATGATCATCATGACGATGGTGGCTTGTCTATTTCACATCCTGACACCTTATGCCGGGAGTGCCTAGAGTCGAGACTTGCTAAAAATACAGAAACACGAGGTGGGCCAAGAACCGCATGAACTTGCAAGGCCCACGCTCCTGACGCCAGGCGTCACATATTTTTTTGAAGATCAGACATGATAGCCAAATCACCACAGACCTCCGAAGTGGGCATGAACATCTTTGAGTTTCAGAAATCCAAAGAACTGACTTTCTAAGGAGAGGCCTTCCCGAGCTGGATGCAAGAGCCGACTGGGAGGCTACGACGTCTTTTGTTGCGAGGGTTTTTTGGACCTCGCTGAGCCTTCAGAATCTTGGAAGTTTCTCGGGGCCCCCACAGCCAGCGCAGGCACATATCACCCATATCGGATCCCATCCAGAAGGTTATCAGCAAGCATAGCATCTGGAAGCTTCAGTTTGCTTCATGCGTTAAGGCTTCGCAGGTACTGACAAAAGAAGGTGGTGAACAAGACGGCCGGAATACGTAAAAATGGTGTAACCCTTTCTGCCTAGGAAGAAGGTCATGACCACCAGCGAACCTTTACGTAAGCCTCAGAACTCACACCATGGCTTCAGGTCCGATCGTTCAGTGTTTCAGGGTTATGTTGTTTTGATTCTCCTAGTAGTAGGATGTAGTAGGGTAGGTAACCTTTAACCTTTCTGGGGTATACAATCCCTATATAACCCCTATATAACCCCAAAGGTTAACCTTTAGTTCCCCATGATACCCGACAAGTAAGTTCTGCATTCTGGGGGTTTGGGTTGGGCACCAAACTCCAGACATGCGTGTAGCCTTCGCATGCTGCTATGTCCTTCCAGGGGTCCAGCCGTGTTGTGCCGACGGCCAGAACCGGAAACCCGAAGTGTCAACCGTGATCGTGATTCTGGCCATGAGTCCTGACATCAGTACCAGAACAGACACAGCCGGGGAAAGAAAGCATCAGTCGTCGTCAGGCCATCCAGGCGGAAGGCATCGATGTGACTGTGCAGACGGCCACGGTCAATGCTGTGCAGGAGGCAACAAAGTGAAGGCTTAAGGAGAAGAGTGTTCTCGGTGCCAAGGGTCGATTGCGAGATTCAAGTTCCGAATCTTTAGGCTTTAACCTCTGCGCTTTTCGGATCTTTTTCCTGTCCTGGGCCGGCAAGGTTCTGCTGAGCCGCACACGCCTGCAGCTCAGCTTCTGCTGCAGAGGGTTTCGGAGTGGAGGTTGGGATAAGGTAGGTATCATGCCCGTGGTTTCCAGCTTTTCGCCAGAGTCGTGCTGTGGGGCTTAGCTGCGCAGGTCCGGACATTCTCCACATCTCTGCCCACTGCACTACGCTAGGCACCAGCGATGCAAGCTCTGTGTCTGTCTCCGTTCCTTTGTACAGCAGCTCCTGTGTCCATGTTGTCGACGGCGAGGTAACCGTGCGCAGCTTTGCATGATCCGGGATCGTGCAGGGCTTCGCTTCCACTGCGTTCGGGTAGACTGTCCCGCGTGCTTCACACACAGTAGAATGAACTGGCCATGCAACAACATCTCCGTATATCTCCGTTAAAATCCGTTTGAGGTAGCGTGCTTAACAAAATCGTGCAGGTCATGATGGGAACAAGACCGTGGCATATGCCTTGTCAATACTGCAAGAAGTTAAAGTCCTTGTCACCTAGGGCCATTGATCCCAGAGGATGCGATCTATATAAGCCTCTTCGATTGCAGGCGCGTCACCCTGCATGGTCTTGGAAGGAGCCCGGCGGATCGGCGTTTCAAGTGGGAACTGGAACACGTGAGGGTCGGGGTGGTGCTTAGGTGTAAGGATACGGGACAACCTGCACGAATTCGAAGCTTCACGTTTGAGATGCCGGTAGGTTGGAGGTCCTCTACGGACTCTACGGGCTGTGAGTATTCTCGTGTTCACCCTTCGCACGGCAGTTGAAACTTTAGACGTGAAGCCAAGCCCTAAGGTGCAGACCCGAAGCCAGGCCTCGCGGTCCTTATGATTTTGTTGTTTCGAAGTGCCTCTTGAGGAACCGCGTCATGCACTGTCCTGCGCGTTTCATTCCATGTCGCAGGATTACGTACCTGCGGCCAGAGAAACCGCTCGCGAGTTGTGAGGATCTTGTCGGCGAGAATCGTCGTGAACATTTGGTTTGTGATCTTGCTTTTCTGCTTATTCACCGGTGGTCACACAGCCCCTGTCATCTGCAACACAGATTGTGTACTGTCTGCGCAGGAGCAGATGGTAGCGCGGATATCGTGAACGTGCATGACTTCGCAAACCTTGGGTGGCGACTGCCTCGGATCTCCGATTCTGGGCAGGGGAGACTCTGCGGCGATGCCGTGATGAGCATGTTTGTGAGTTTAGATCCGAGCTGTTCTCTGTTGGGAATGATCCCGGCCAACACTCCGATCCGCTTGACAAAGCTCCCTGGATCAAGCCTCCATGTCTCACAATGCTGCCAAGCCGCCAAAGACTCGACCCCCGAACCCGTGGAGCACGCGTCGCTGTGTTGGCTGTAACGCAAAGGGTCCAGAGCCTCCAAGCCGCACAAAACTCTCACATTTCATGTTCAACCGAAGCACGAGTAGCCGGCAGTCCTCCTCAACCCTTAGCTGAAGCTGAGGTGGGGTGGCATCGAGTTGTTAGTGTTGCTGGCCTGTGGCTCTCAAGCCGTGGTTCAGAGGCGCGGAGGCTGCTGAAATTCGGGTTCAGGTCGGGAGTTGGCGGGTTGAGGCCGAGGCTGTAAAAAGTAGATCTGCCAGAGCATGTGCACTGCAGCGATGCTCACAAAGGTCAAGGCTGTGCATACGCGTGCAATCTCCCGAACGTCTTTCTATTGATATGAGCCAGCTACCTTCGCCTGAACTGCTATTCTTGTCAGTAGGAGAGACAGGGAGTTACTCTTCCCACAGGCTACGAGTTATTTTTCTGTAGTCGACTCAGCACCGACTCAGCATGTGCACTTGAGCATTTTCGGCCGTCGATGTCTTTGCGTCACTTAGCGTCATCTGGAGAAGCGCCACGTAGCATGCATTGATACAAAACGGGATACATCGGGTGCATCGCGCACTGTCTTGCAACACGCAGTGCCATTCAACGGTTGTGATCTGTGGCGTGTCTGGCGTGTCCTTCGGGTTGTTGTGATCGAACGGATGCCGCGAACCTTCTATGTGCGTCTGGTGGTGGAAGGTGAACCTGCAACAGTCAGTTCGTGTAAAGATGCATGCGAAAGCAGTTTCCAGCTGGTTCGTGAGGCTGGAGTGGAAGTTGAGGTTTCTTTTTTGAGTGGTGAGTGGGCCGCGAAGGTGAAGGCAGAGGTGTGTGCCTGGCAGAGAGAGAGAGAGAGAGACGCGCTGTTCTTCGGGATGTGTCAAGTCGGTGTAGTGCACAAATATATGTCCTGGACTTCCTCCAGCAGACTGTTCAAACCCTACGTTTTGTTTCTTGTCGTCTTTGCACGTCCTGGCAGCGACTGGACCTCCTAACAATCTCGGTGTTCTGGTTCTAGTTGCGACCTGTGGGGCTTCGAGTTCAGTTTTCTGGATGTCGTGTCCTTTGCAGCTGTCGCTGTTCGGGTTTACGTGCATGGTTATGGGAAAGTTCCACACCTTCATGTGTAGGCATGTGGATCTATAGTGTTTCTCGCTAGTATGGCACGAGGATCAGCACGCAAGGATCTGTGTGGATCCTTTGCAATGGGTTTCCGCGAGACATCGCGAGACATGGCTCATGTTGTAGGATAGCCATATCAGAAGTCAGAGTTAAGGAAGAACTGTTAATTACAAAGCTTCAGCAGGCGTAACGGGAGTGGTAGAAGCCGAAGCTCTGTTCTAGCATTCTTCGTATTCTTATTCTTATTATTATTGCTCTTATGAGGATTGGTACTAGTACTAGTTTGTCGTACCTGCTGGCTCCAGGCTCATGAACGGGCACGGTCTCCGGCGGGCAATTTGTTGCAGCTTGGTCGCCGACTCTTTTTTCGTCAATTTGTCAGTACTTCCCCCCTGCATGGGCGGGGCGTGATGCTACAAGACAGGCAGTAGTAGCGAGCAGCGTCAGAATCCCAAAGCGAACTCTGTGACAGCAAGACAAACAAAGGGGCAAGTCGCACAACAACTGCTAGAGTCATGACGAAAACGAAAGAACTCGTGGTAGTGCTGGCTCATGATCGCAGGCCCAGTGTAAAAGTAGCACTCCATTCCGAAAAGGTCTGGTAGCAATCCAGTTTTGCTACATACTGCTACCACGAATGCCCACACGGGTAACAAATACAAGGGGTACCAACAGTAAACTAGTCGCAACCCGACCGCCTTGTGCTAACAACACTGCTCGCCTCTGGCTCGGGCCTTGGGCAGAATACTGCTCTCAAGTCAGTGATGAGTTTTGTCTAGTTCTAGTTCTTCTTCTTGTTGTTGTCGACTACTTACACGGTTGTGGTGATTGTTATTGCTACTAGGGCATTTGTCGCACTGCCGCAGTGGTTTTCCTTTTCTTGTAGTTTCCACGGTCAAAGGCTGGAAGTCGGAATGCATTGCAGTCAGAGCTATGGCTTCCGTTGGAGAGCTTGTTCTTCAATCGAGAACCGAGGCAACAACATAGTCCTCGACTCTGCGGCCCAGATCTTCTGCAGGATCTCCGGGATTCCAACCCCAAGCTTAAACGCCCAGTAGCCCTAAACTCCTTTTCTCAAGCGACACATACCAAGGAGTGCCCTTCCCGTTATCACAGCCTTTTTGTAACTGCCAGCATCTTGTGCTGACGGAAGACTGCCAGGACTTTCTACACAGCTTTGGGCGCCGGCCAGGCCCGGATATCGGTTTTTGACTCGAGGCAATATGGGGCCTTAATAGTTGCCTATGTTATTTTGGGGGTTCCTTATTCTAACTACAGTATTATATTATATCCCTCTTCTAATGGTTAAGGCCCTCATACTAGGATTTCAGACTCCCGGCATGGGCCAAAACTGTAATGTCAAGGCTGGAAAGATCTATCAGGTTCGAGCAGGGGTTCCGATTCTGTCGCATCTCCGGAGGCTATGGTTGCAGTATGTTGCAGTCATTGACGTCCGTACATTTGGGGTGCTTTCGGACCCAGAGTGTGTGAGGTGCTTCAACCGCAACTCCAAGCTCCGAATTACCAATCAGAATCAGGTGGTAGCCATATCGGTCCCACCGTCAGCAACCATGACACATAGCCACGCGACATCTATCAACTCTAAGCAGCAACTGGTTTTGCCTGTCGAACGATTCGCAGAAGTGTTCGCAGACCTCAAAACTACTACTGAGTGGTTTGATTTTCTTCTAGCGCATTCAAACGCACTAGGGCGATTGAACGCAGCTAGATGGTTTTTCAAGGCACTACTGCAAGCGCACTGCCAGCAACTCCTTGAACAGCGTGCCAGCGCCACTTGCGCAAACAGTCGTGAAAGTCGTAGGATTTCCGATAGACTGTAGGATGCCTCGCAGTTACTGCACGAGTTTGCTCGTGCATGTGATGTTCGCGATGGCTCCCGGTGGCGCGTTGGGAAGCTCCCGGGACCAGGGCAACCCGGCCTGCTGGTCTGGCACCTTCTCCTACGAATATTGCTGCAGCTCCCGTCATGGAGCTGAAGGCAACTCGGAGTGTTGGGATGGGCACTTCAGCTTCAACCACTGTTGCCATGAGCCGCTGCACTCTGCTTCTCCCTCTGAGTGTTGGCAAGAAGCACGGGAGCGTCTTCAGAACTCCGAGGACCCCTTGGCCAAGCACCCGTCTCTGGCGAATCCGGCGAACCTGGCAGTGTTTTGCTGCCATGCTTCACACCTGAGCTCGGAAGCCTGCTGGGGTTCCAAGGAGCCGGGTGGCTCACCGATTCTTTTAGATGCCTCGACGGGAGAGCCCCTGGGCTTCACTCGCCGCCATGTCGACTGCTGCTTCCCAGAGTTGCAAAGGTTGGCCAAGGACACCCCTGCAGAATGGATGGCAAAGCAGCTTGACCATGATTTCCTAAAATGGGAGGGCCAGGAACCGATCCGGGGATCCGACATAGATGCTTTCGAAGCGGCGATGGAGGTTGCCGGTCGAGGTGCCGAGCTGTGTCGATTCCGATTGAGAAAGACGGGCATCTATCACTGTGACTTCAATCGATCCAGGTACGTCTCCCTGCTGCATGCCGTGAGGGTGGCGCTGCAAATTCTTCAGATCATGTTCGGCCTGCCTGAGCTCGATTTGTTCATACATACTGGCGAATGCCTCGGTATTGATGTCGCAGCCAAGCCCCAGACAAACCTCACAGTACCTGTGCTTGCGCAGGCTCAGCTTGAAGGGTCCAGCGGGATTCTCATGCCGTGGTGGGCGTTTCTGCAGATCGACTGGACGCGGCGTCTCAGAGAGAGGCTGCAGCAGGCATCATCGAAGCTGGCATGGCAGGAACGGCGAGACGTCCTGTTTTGGCGTGGATCAGACACTGGATGTTTGATGGGCGGGCTGGACAACAGTACGGAATGTGCCCTTTGGAGTGCGAGCACATGGCCACTTTTTCCACGGTCCAAGCTGGTGCTGGCATCATCTTTGTTCCCATCTCGCGTGGATGCTTTGTTCACCAAAGACACGGTACACAAGGAGTGTGAGGACGTCTACGATTCCAGCGGATTGCGGATTGAGGAGATAGTTCCACCAGAAGTGCATGTCCGGTACAAGTATTTGGCGTACATTGATGGCACGTCATTCTCAGATCGCTTATACTGGCTTCTATTGACCGACTCCGTAGTATTTCGTTCCAGCTCTCGAATCCGAGTTTGGCTCGATCAAGGCCTGCAGGCGTGGAAGCATTACATTCCCGTTCTCGGAAACCTTGCTGATCTGATGGACCAGCTGGAGTGGGCAAAGGAGAATGATCGCCAAAGTGCTGAGATTGCAGCTGCTGCATCAGCATTTGCGAAGAACCACTTGACGCTCGAATCGAGCTTGTTCTACTTGTACCAGGTTCTTCTGCGACTGTCGGGTGTCGTCCAAATGTCTCCGGATGAGCTTCTGCATGATCCTCCTGAGGTTGCTGCCCAATCCACTTTCCAGGATGAGATCGCTTTCGACTGCTGGGCCTTGGGGTTCACCCCGGAATTCTGTTGCAACGAGGATCAGTTTGGCCCTGGCGGCAACACTGCATGCTGGGACGGCCCATACACCTTCGAAGCTTGTTGTGGAAGCTTTTCAGCAGGTTCTGGCCGCAAAAGATGACAGCGCATGGGGCAGGCCAAGAACCCGGAGAAGCGAAGGTCGAAAACATGCCTCTTTAAGAGGCCTCACCGCGTGAGTCCGAGTTTGAGCGCTGACACCCGCCTGCGTCCAAAGCCCCTTCCTGAACCTCAACATGACTCATATATGATGCCAGAATAATAAAATCCTCAGGCCAAGTACCAAAATCGACTTCTATACCTTCAAAGTCTCGTGGTCCTTGCAAGACGCCACCTCAAAACGACACAGCATTTGATGCCACAGGAAGCATCACAAGCCACCAAGGCGTAACTGTCTCACTTTTACCAGCATACAGTCTATCTGCGGTTTCTGAGAGACTAGGTCTGTACAAGGAGGGATCCTACTTCAGGTAGTCTTCACTGCGAGCTTTCCTTGTCGACGTGTGCCCTTGCACCTCGAACAGGTGTATGGTCTCTAACACCGGTTCACCTTCGATGTTTAGACGTGGGCCGCTAGCCTTTAGTCTCGCACCCTTCACCCTTTACCCATGAAGCTAGTCCTGTTGCGCGTCGGTGCACCGCACCGGGCACCGTAAGTGCACCCTCATCCCTAAACCCAAATTTGACTCAAGCATTTCGGTTCTGTTCTAGCCGGATTCCTCATCCCGTTCTTCAACGAAGTGCCAAGATGTCCTTCTTGCGCCCTTTGATCCTGGCCTTTGCCACGGTGCCCTATCTCGAGGCGATCGTGTGGAATGGCAAGGATGGCAGTGACTCGAATGTGGTAGCGGCCATCGACCTCAGTAGCATTCCGGAATGCACTGACGACCTGGTTGCAGGTGGCGAGGCGCAGTGCGATTCCCTGACGAAGGACAAGTGCAAGGGCTACACCCAGTAGGATGATTCAGGAAAGCTCTTCATCCAGTGCAAGCCAAGTGGAGAGAACTGTCTTGCAGAAGGCCCACAATGCAAGAAGCCTCCAAAGAAGAATCCCTGGATCAAGCCCAAGAAAGGGGTAGTGTGCAACAAGGCTTGCAAGGACAATGGCTTCACAAAGTGCAACAAGAAGGAGATGGCAAAGATCGACAGTAAGGAAAAGATCAAGAAGGCAATGAAAGAGGCCGGCTACAATTGCCGGAGCGTCGGCGGACACAGAGCCTACGCCGGAATTCCCTTCACGACCTTTCGATCCGGAGACGAGTGCTACTATGTCACCCCCGGAACCAAAGCGAGCTCAATTAAATGTGATTCCAACAAGTACAGCGGACATGGGCCCCTTTGCTACTGTGAGTAGAGCAGCTTAGAATCTGGAGGAGTGCAGAGAAGGCAGTCTTGTCGCTCGGATTCTCTGAAGGAAAGGAAAAGTTCCCAAGGCCAATGTGCTTTCGCTTCGTATCAGGAACCTCGCCTAGGCATGTCCAGAAAAGGAGTGAGTGCTGAAACCCAGTTGGGAAATCCCGAAACCTGAAGCCCTGACCCGTCCAGCCCCAAACCCTAAAGGTAGTTGGGTTTAGGGAACCCTAAACCCTGAACCCCAAAACCCTAAACCCTACGCCCTAAACCTAAGAAGCCCTCAAGCCGTTCCTCTCTTCTTGTGGAGACAGGGGCTCGAAGTGCCTCGCCCGGAGTGCTGCGGCCTGAGCCCTGAACCCGAAGCCCGAAACCTTGAGCCCGTGGGTGGTAACGGTGCGAACAACCTTGCCAAATCGGACGTGAGATCTTTGTGGAGCCGGCTCACAATATCTTAGCTTCACAGGTTTCGTGCATTGTCTATCAAGTGCTAAGCTGCTTGTCAGGTGCCGGATGCACCGTGGATCACTGTAGCAGCTTCAGCTTCGGATTGCAGCAACCTGCATCCCGCGCCACGCCTCATGGCGCCAAAGAAGCGCCGTGCGGCAGCGGCTGCGACAGCTTCTGGCTTGAAGCGCCCGGCGATAGCGAAGACCGCCGCAAAGAAGCCAGCTTCACGGCGGGCTTCAGTGGGGGCAAAGAAGCGCCCTGCGGCAGCGGCTAAGAAGCCAGCTTCACGGCTGGATTCAGTGGCGCCAAAGAAGCGGCCTGCGGCAGCGGCTGTGACAGCTTTTGGCTTGAAGCGCCCGGCGACAGCGAAGATCGCTGCAAAGAAACCAGCTTCACGACAGGATTCAGTGTCGTGCCCACACTCTGTGGCAAACTTCTGGGAGGCGCTGGTGACAAGCCTGGAGCTCCACCTCAAAGTAGATTTCCAGCGGCAGTTGTTCTCTGGTGACTGCAAGCTTGTTGTAGACAAGCTAAAGCCTGGGGTTCGCAATGTCGTTCTTGACGTCCTCGATTTGGCCATACATAGCATCACAGACGAGGATGGCGAGACGGTCGCGTGGCATGTGGAGACGCCTCCCGGATCCAAAGCCAAGTTTGGAAAGGCGTTGTTTGTGACTCTGCCTCCAGGGAAACGATCCAAGATTTGCGTGCGCTATGAGACAACAGAGAAGAGCACGGCGATTCAGTGGCTAACCAGGGAACAGACCACCGGCAAGAAGCACCCGCTTTGTTTTACACAAAGCTGCGCAATATGTGGGCGATCACTGCTTCCCTGCCAGGACACCCCATCTGTCAAGGCTAGCTTCTCGATTAGCGTCACGGTACCAGCACCGCTAATGGCTGTGGCATCCGGAGAACCTGTGGGGGAACCCACGGAAGCAGATGGTCTGCGCACCTTCACGTACTCACAGAAGGTTCCTGTAATGTCCTACCTGATTGCCGTAATTGTGGCCGAATTTGAATCTCGAGTCATAGGGAAGCGAAGCCGCTGCTACGCTGAGCCAGCAATCATGGAGGCAGCCCGGCAGGAATTCAGCGAAATCGTGGACGAATTCTTGGAGACCGCTCAACAGGTGATTGGTGGTGCGGAGTATGAGTGGGGTAGCTATAATGTGGCGGTGTTGCCTTCCTCTTTTGCCTATGGGGGCATGGAAAATCCTAATTGCACCTTCTTAAGTGCTTCATTGATTCCTGGTGACCGAAGCCTCACAGCCACACTGGCGCACGAGATTGTTCATTCATGGATCGGGAATTTGGTGACGAATGCGTACTGGAAGGACTTCTGGCTGAATGAAGGCTTCACCCGCTATATCGAGCGGAGAATCCTGGGCAAGATTCACGGCGCTGCTTTTCGTGGCCTCCTCCTCCTAGTTGGGTACAACGACCTGGTCAAGACCGTTGACACGTTGAACAAGCAGGGCAGCTCTGGGTTGACGCGCTTGGAACCGGACCTCGCCGATATCGATCCAGATGACGCATTTTCGCGAGTGCCATATGAGAAAGGCTCGCTGTTTCTATTCTACTTGGAGCAGCTCGTGGGAGGAGAGGAGCCTATGACAAAGTATCTGCAGTCTTATATCCAGAAGTTCCGCGGGCGCAGTATCCAAACAAGCGACATGAAGGCTCATTTCATCGAGTTCTTCAAAGCGGTGCGCAAGCTGAAGCAAGTTGACTGGGAGCTTTGGCTGCATGGCGAAGGGATTCCCAACTTCGACCTCACACATTACGTTGACAGGACCTTGCTCGAGGAGAGCAAGCAGGCATCTGTTCGCTGGTTGTTGGAAACGCCCCAGGATCTGCAGATCATGTCCCTCAAGGCGCAACAGGTGATGCTGATTCTGGATCACCTGATCAATGCGCATGCAGCTGACCAAGGCCTTTCGCATCAGAAGCTCGCGGCCATGGATGCTCAGTATAACCTCTCTGGCACCAAGAACGTGGAGATTGGCTTCAGGTGGTGCCTGCTCGGATGTCGAAGCAAGTGGCCCGGCTGCCTGCCGGCGACAGAGAGCTTCCTCGCTAGCCACGGCCGGGGCGTGTATGTGAAGCCGTTATACATAGCCTTGAAGGCATTTGACGCTGCAAGGGCAAAGTCTGTCTTCGACAAGAACAGGCATTTCTATATGACTGTCATTTCTAGACAGGTCAGCTCCATGCTGAGCGAGTAGTTCAATTCGGATTCGAGCTTACTTCAACGAACTATTCCGAGGTGAGGAATTGATGACTGAGACTTGGCTGGTGGGCAAAATTGCGCGGTTGCCATGCCTCAAAACCTCCTACTCTAAGATCATCATGGAGCCTTTCAGGCCGTGTGCACGTCCTTACATGGCCACCCAGCTTGGGGTCCGGGTGGTTTCTTTACGATTTCACCAAAGCCAAACCCCTGTGAGGCCCTGCGCTCCAGCTTCGAAGCTGCTAAGGCTTCGGGCTGAGGATTTTGGGTTCTGACGGGGGTAGGGTGAAGCTTGTCGCGTTCGTGAATCTGCTCGTGTTGGGTCTTTCAAATGGCCTGGATAGTTCAAAGCGCACGAAAATTCGGCCATGGTTGTTTCGTCCGCCAAGGCAGACATTTTCGCATTGGTCGTCATCTCTAGTGCAGGTCTTTCGTGTTTTCGAGTTATGGTGGTCGAGCGCGGTCACAAGTCTTGGCATCGGGAAGGGCAGGGACGCAGCGTTGAGGCAATTAGAAGTAGAGGGTTTGAGTTTCATGGGGCAGCGAGATGCAGTGAGTTTCATGGGGCAGCCCACAGAAGCCTGCCAACTGTGAGTGCCGCCATGCACGAGCGAGCTGTAGCTTCAGAGAGGGTGTCCCGGCATCTAGCTCATCATACTTGTCACGCAAGTCAGAGAGGGAGCGTCGACACATTACAATCCAGGCTTCAATCCGACACTCCTCTATGTCTTCGGGAGAGGCTCGCTGCCTGCTAGTATGGAGGGTAGTGAAAGAACCGCCTGTGTTGGCAACAGGGTTTCGCGGAATTTGGACACTTGGATTTGAGATCTGCAGGTTGTTTAGAATGCTTGCGTGCACTCAGCTCCGCACTTGCATCCCTAGTGTTGGCGAGTATGGGTCTGAGCCAGAAGGCCCCGCATCCAAGACTGGTCCGGCTGAGCCCAAGCGGGCAACAAGCACGACACAGCTTTGTGCGGTCGTTCTTTCTAAATTGAAAAATGCAGCTGTCACATCTCAGCTCAAATAATCCCGCAAGCTCTGCCTTCGTGGCAGGACCTGGAACCACTTGTTTCCATATTCTGTCGCCTGGACGTGTCGTATCTGTCTCCGTCTTTGTCCATGTCCGATATACAATATGCATTTTCTGTCCCGCGCTTATTCCCTTTGCGTACATTGTAAACTAAATTTCCATCAGTCACCAGTCCTCCATCACACGGTCGCGTCCTGCTGCGCAGGTTGAGTCGAGCGTCTGAATCGTAGCCGATCAGGCATGCAAGTTCGTGCTCCTGCAGCTCGAGAACCGCGACAAAGGGCCTTTAGTGCCTTGGCTGTCATGGAAAAAGACAGGAGCAAACCCCCCAAGCTCTGGTAATCCCAACCCTCGATCTCCCTCAACCCGAAGCTTTTAGCCGCCTGGAGTCGGAGAGCAGTAGCCGGAGATGGAGGGGCTCGGAACTCTGTGTAGCCCTCGACACCATCCTGCCTTCAGATTTCCCGCTTTTCGGACGGATGCATGTGCCGGTTCTCTCAGAGAGACATACCCCTCCTTAGACAAGATTTTCCAGAACGCTACAGCTTTAAACCCCACTGTAAAAGATCGACACTACATGTTCTAGGCCCTGCTAGCGTGAACTACACAGCCTCACCGAGACTCCAGCTCAAGCCCTTTGAAGGTACCATGTGCGCTGGAGCGTGCACTGCTTCAGCCGCACGAGCAGTTTGAGCTTCGAGCTGAGAGCCGTCTTTGTTGCTTTTTGGAAGCCTTCTTAAGACGTGCCGTCAGAGTTGTCATCAGCATCATTATCCATGTAATCCTTGACTTACACGGGAAAAGTTTTACCAGGGTCTTACTTCTTGGCATCTTTCCGTGGGATTGGAGTTCAGGGCTGACTCACGCTCACAGATATCAGCTTCGCCACCGCGCGTGGGCAGGAATCCCACTCCCAAGGATGCCCTGAAAGAATCGGCAACAGACTCCTGCGAAGTTCTCCCCCTCTCAGGCCCACTTTTTCGTGCTGTTGAGCTCTGGAAACTGCAATCTGAGTGCACCGCCCATAAAAGTTTTGACGGTGGTAAGCGCTATGGTCAGAGAGTGACACAGAGGCAATAACCTCAAATGCGGAGCCCTGTTTGGTGGATGATGCTGAGTGCTAGACTCCGCAACGGTTACTGAGGGGCCGTCTCATGTTTGCGTTTCAACGAGAAGAAGCATTGTCATTCGCAGAATCTCAACAAATGCCCGTGTGCCATGGGTGGTGCTGATGTAGTCGTCGTCGTCGTCCTCGTAACTTAGGTATTGCGTTGTAGTCAATAAGTGGCCAACAGCAAGTTGCAAGTATTATGTAGCTTGGAGTGCGTAGTGCGCGGTGCGTAGTACAAAGTATACATAGTACATACGAGCACAACTACTTAGCCCAAGCCAACCGGGCAGTCGCAGTTTTCAGGTGGTCTCAATGGCCTCGTGTCGAGGACTACATTGGCTGGGAACTTACCTGATCCGTTTGTAGTTGCATCTGGCTGGTGCTTGGAAGGCTTGGTTGAGAGTTTAGAGATGATGCTATATAATTTGTTTGATGATTGTGCCGATTCAGAACATTGACACTCTAAAGCCAACCACCATGCATGCACCATCAGACCCAGAAGGTCAGGCACAAGACACCCGCACACCAATTAATGTGAACTCCAAAGACAAGCAAGAGCTGCTCCAAGAGCACCAGCTCATATGCACCCAGTCCCACAGTCAAGTGCCTTTGAGCCAGAACCCATTTCAAAGAAGACATGTTATCTCACCGTCCGATATCAGGAGCCTAGGCCTAACATGGAGGGCTTTGCACATGCAATGAACAACATGCCCTTGTTGTCTCTGTAGGATCGTAATTACTCTCATATCCCAGAAAGTCCCGTTCTAGTTACTCATGCATGCCCCATATGCCTATATTGCGTCGTAAGCTTCCGAACCACCTGGTAACTCCAGGCAGAGAATCCGTGGCGCTCTCCCTTTCCAGCCTCTTTCAACGTCGCCGTGCTGTCTGCCTCTGGGGGCATGACCGAGCTTAGCAAAGGTTTTCGGGGTTTGGGGTCTTTGAGGGTTTCAGGAGGTTCGAAGGCCCTTGGGCTTGCGGTTTTTCAGTCCCATTATGGAAGAATCCTCCTCGCCAGGAAGCCACTCCCACATTTCTTGAGCGCTCATAAATCATGAAGGGCCTTATGCTTGGACATTTGCATGCTTGTGAGTGATATCTGGGCGTTTTTCCAAGGGTTTTTGGTATCCCAGGCCTTTATGCGAGTACATAGTTACTTGGCAGGAACCCTAGTTTGAGCATCCCTTCGTAGTCCCTGATCTTACAGGAGGGCAGTGGCAAGACCGCTCTGAGCATGGAGTTCTGATACTTGGCGGCACCGCTTCTTTTGGCTTCGGGTTGGTCCTCATGTTCGCATGATACGTTGCAGGTTGTTGGTTAAATCTTACTCTCCGCAGACGGCTCTCGCAGGGTCACCCGGGCTCTTCGGGTTTGGTGGTCGATTGGTCCTTGGTGTTTGGGGGTTTACCTGGCTTCTGTTCGGGAGCGAGCTTCTTTGTTGTGTGTGTCTCTGTGTGTGTGCGTGTTTGGGTCCTTAGTGTTTCAAGGAAACAAATCCAAGCCCATGCTGAAAAAAGGAAACAGACCCAGCTCAAGACTGGGTACGCCCCAGACGTGAGACCATTTCAGCGTACGTCACTGATTGGAGTAGTACAAGCTAGCTTCAAGATCTAGGAAGCCGTCACGGAGTCTCCATGCAGTTGCACATGGAGGACACCACAGTATTGTAGAATATGCCGTGTACTGAAGCCTCGCCTGCTTGTCGAGTGTGAGTGCTAAAAAAAGAATATGCCGTGTGTATATATATATATATTATACATTTCCAAATCAGGCGTAGCTTGCTCCGCCAAGGCCGTCACTTCTCGGCTCCCGGTGGTCGCCAGTTTTCGGCAGGGGCCTACCATGTCAGCTACGACCGCGCCGTCCGAGAGGCTTGCTTGGAGGGTTGATACAGCAAGGTACTATCAATTCCGTGTTGCCCTTGCGTATCGCCATCGCCCTGCCCCCCGCACCACGCTACAATCTACAACGATCTTTTCTACAAACCTAACGATTCGTGCATATTATTATGCATAATATTAACTAATCCCCTTCGTTCATTCCTAAATTCTCTATGTGCTTCTTGGTTTTGTTATGTCG